GCGTGCCAGGGTCGGTAAGCGCGGCAGGCGCGGCACTTTCTCGGCACCAAAGAAGGTGCGCAAAGGGTGATCCCTCTGCACGGCCTCAATACGCGCAAAGGTCGGAAGGCGCGGCCGGCGCGGCACTTTGTCGACACCGGAGAAAGTGATCCCTCGGCGCGGTCGCTATGCGTGCCAGGGTCGGGAAGCGCGGCGGGCGCGGGGGGGTGCGCAGGGTGTGGCCCCCCAGCGCAGCCACTGCGCGTGCCGGAGCCGAAAAGCGCGGCACGCGCAGCAGCTCGAACTGTAGACACCTTGGCACTAACCAGCTCGAATGCTGCCGGTGCTGCCTTGCCGCCAGCGTCGGTCATGCCGCCCAAATGCGCCATTGAAGCACTGCCGCCTACGTGTTTCAATCTCAAAAATTCCATGACAAACGCACTCACCGGGTTAACATTGGAAAGTTGCGCACGTTGCGGGGCAGCTCTGGTGAAACACGCTTTCACTTTTTACCATCGGCAGCTGATGAAGCAGTAGCATGATACGCTGCTCACCATCGAGGACGGGGAGACGATGCCAACAGGCAGCGCTTGACGAATTACTTGCTGGACCCCTTTTTCAACAGGGTTTCCAGCTGACCAACCGGGGAAACGGAGGAAGGTGATGGCTCGCCACTGGTGAAAGTTTGGGGAGTCGGCGATGCCGACAACGCGGGCATTGCCACGCCCGCGCACCCCTCAACGGTCTCCAGCAGTTATGCTTGCTACCCCTGTTCGTGCCGATGGAACCCCTCGCATGCAGCTGTCCCCGGAACCAGCGGAGATGGACTACTGCTGGTCGCAATGACCATGGACGCGTGAACTGCGACAGTCGATCCTCCTTGAGACTTTGTTTTCCCGAACGGATATGAAGGCGGTCAAGTTGCACAAGGAATTCGCAGCCAAGCGGGCTGCTGCTCCAGAGTGCCGACCGTCGAGAAGGTGAAAGGCGTCGCGCACTGCACGCGACAGGCAGCCCTGGCAGAGCGGTTGGATGCGGCTAACTTCCTCGACTCAGCTGACCAGGAGGACCCGCGCCCAGACCCTGTCAGCGGTAGCGGAAGCGGTAGTGGTTTCGGTAGTGGTACTGGTAGTGGTAGCAGCAATGGCGCTCGTAGTCGAAGAAGTAGTACTTGAAGACGTAGTGGCGATGTTGGTAGTAGTGGTTGTGGCAGCAGTAGCTGCAGCTGCGGAGGCGGCGGCGGCAGCAGCAGCAGCAACAGCAGCAGCAGCGGGAGTGGTAGTAGTAGTAGTAGTAATAGTAGTAGTAGTAGTAGTAGTAGTAGTAGTAGAAGTAGTAGTAGTAGTAGTAGTAGTAGTCGTAGTAGTCGTAGTAGTCGTAGTAGTCGTAGTAGTCGTAGTAGTCGTAGTAGTCGTAGTAGTCGTAGTAGTCGTAGTAGTCGTAGTATAGTAGTAGTAGTAGTAGTAGTAGTAGTAGTAGTAGTAGTAGTAGCTACTAGTAGTGGTAGTAGTAGTAGTAGTCGTAGTAGTAGTAGTGGTAGTAGTAGTAGTAGTAGGAACAGCAGTAGTAGTGGTAGTAGTAGTAGTAGTAGTAGTAATTGTCGTAGCACTAGTCGTAGTAATAGTAGTAGTGGTAGTAGTAGTAGTAGTAGTAGTAGTAG